TCAAGTGATTTCTCAAAACGTGAAAGATTTCACCATCAATGTACTCACATATATCATACTATTAATGCTCTTCTGAAAAATTAACTAGTGTTCGTTAAAATGTTTCGAAATAGAAAAAATAAATATAATATTTTGAAAGCGAGCCAAGTATTTTACATTGAATCTATAATTTTTTTCGGTCACAGGTTCTGAGAAAGAAGCTTTTAATACTCTTCTGTAACTTGTCTTGATTATGAATTCATACTCGAAAAAAGTCGACTGTTCATTTCTGTCCATACTATGAAACCAATTTCAATTATCAGTGAAATTAAATTTCAATTATATACCCCATTTTCATTCATGCCTGTATACTCCATAAGGTTCCACTGAGTTATGTACAAGAATTGAATATTATATATCAGGTTGCACCAAATCATGTTCTTCCTGAACGTTCGAAGAACGCAGATCAAGCCAAATATCGAAACCCTCTAAAGCGAAATAGCTGCTATTTATGTTTGAATATGAACTCAAATTCAAACACTTTAATTTGCACTTTATTGGCCACATAGCATGACGCGTTTCGTCGTTAAAAATGACTTCTTCAGATGCTGAAGAACTGTACTGAAAAAAATCAAAACGAACGTTATCGTTTGTAGATGTTTGCTAACAGGAGAATCTTAAGGAACAGGATTATTCTGTTAGCATCCATCTACAAACAATCACGTTCGTTTCCTTTTTTCAGTACAGTTCTTCAGCATCTGAAGAAGTCATTTTTAACGACGAAACGCGTCATGCTATGTAGTCAAATAAGTGTGAATCGTAAGTTCAAGTGTATGAATTTAAGTTTATATTCAATTATAATGGATTTACATCAAGTAAACGCCAACACTATTAAATGCTATTTATGTGCTGAATTTTTCACAGATTCTGTACTGGATATTTGGTTACCTATTTCGAATTAATTCCTGTTTTTTTAAATTATAACTAGTATCTTTTAAATGCTCAAAATGTCACAATTTGAATTGCATCAATGAAACTATCTATCTTTAGATAGATGTGTCTATTTGGTGACAGGATGAATATGTACGAAAGTTCCTTTATTTTTCCATTGGAAATATGACTCTTATCCTAACCATTTTAGAAAATGAGAGGTAATAATAAAAACTTGTCTAAAAATCACTGACTGAATAATTCTTTATTCGACTAGTTTCGCCTTTTACAGCATTATCAAGAATGAATACATATTACAAAGACAACCTATAAATATTTTGCAGATCTGTTCGGACCACCTTGAATTTCGTCATAGAGGTGGGGGTTTCCAAATTATTAGAGATTTAACAGCGGGGAATGGTTTAGGTCTAACTGGTCATTAAGAAGATCGTATTTATCGGATTTTCGAAGTTTATTTATTTCCATGGCTTCCAGGTAGTTCATTTTAATTCCCTTTTCACAGTAATGAAATATCTTAGGTTTAAAACAACTTGAGATCTTATGTCCTTTCGACTCCCGACATGTCGATGTTCCCGAAAAGCAGAATGTCCGTTTTTTACGTGACAACTACCTTTATGAACTACCTGGAAGCCATGGAAATAAATAAACTTACGATCTCCTTAAGGACCAGTTAAACCTAAACCATTCCCCGCGGTTAAATCTCTGATAATTTGGAAACCCCCACCTCTATGACGAAATTCAAGGTGGTCCGAACAGATCTGCAAAATATTTATAGGTTGTCTTTGTAATATGTATTCATTCTTGATAATGCTGTAAAAGGCGAAACTAGTCGAATAAAGAATTGTTCAGTCAGTGATTTTTAGACAAGTTTTTATTATTACCTCTCATTTAAATATGAACTATCACAGAGTAGATTCATCGTCCATTGAATTCATTTTAGAAAAGATGAGGAAATGTAATTAACTTCTTCCGAGCAATATAATGAAATAAAATTCTCAAAACTTATATTCATCACATCAGTTCTCTATTTCATTTTTGTAAACATTTTTGGCTATCCTTTTGTCCCTCTGAATTTCTTTGAATCGTCAGTAGGTATTTAAACATTTTCAAGAAACTAATACTTATTCGCTTGTTGTATGATTACAATTGAAGCGCAGAATTCGAAATTATGGAAGGATTATTACTCCAATATTCCTCTGATCCCTTTCATCTTCTTGTTATGGGAGATTCCCTCCTTTTTTAGTTCACTAAGCTATTTGGACATAATATTCTTGAGAATGAATAAAATGCACCGAAAATGCTGTATAGTAAGGTGCATACTTATCGACAACACCATTTCATTGCATTTTGAAGATAACAAACTGAACGCAATATTGAATAATTACACAATAATTCAAAAATATGAAATATCCAAACTTTTTGAATCATTTTTATTTCGACAGGTCTTAACCTACCTAGGAAATACTGAATTTCAAATGAACCTTGTCATTCTTATGCCGCTTATTTCACACTTAATGAATAAGATCCTTTACTCTTTCACTCTGAAATTCGGTGATCATTTATCCCTCGACATCGCCATCATAACAATACGTGTAACAAGAAACAGCAAGAGATATTCAACAAAAGTTGTAAGACCTATTCTTTGGGAATATATTTCTGAATACCACATTCCATAATTTAAATGGCTTTCCACATATTTCACTGGGAAATTTCGTAGCTTCATCTCATAACAGCGTTCTCCGAAAAACAGGCAATAATATGTTTGCTAGATTGCATTGCATGTCACAGCTAGGATCTCGCAAATTACAGAGAATATTTCACCCCTACATGCGCGTTGAGCTTGATAATATATCTCGGAAATGACCGAGCGTGGTGTGAAAAGTTTTCTACCCGGCTGAGCCATGGCTGGACTTCTCCAACTTAAACAATTTCTATAATATAGAAACATGAGGGCAGAAAACTGGAAAACTAATAACGAGATAGCAATGGTAGATGCACATAATTTGTCTTCGCTTCCTTTATGCTTCCTCGATAAGAAGTGTTATTATAAAACGCAAGAAGAACGTTTGATGCTTAAATTTCAGTTTGATTATATAGTCTTCGATTTTCATCTCAATCAAATGGAGCAAATATCTGCAGCTTTCTTCGGTCAGTACTTATCACGAATGCATTTTCTAGCAATCTTTCAATAGGAGCAGCATTTTTTGTTTATCATCTTTCGAATTGCCCGTTTCGTGAATATCATGAAATACTACGGAAACTACTGTATTTGAAAAGTAAATACGACACTAAGTAGTGATAATCTTACCTCCATATATACACGAAACGAAGCGATTAAGGACATTTTGTGTGAGATTTACTTGTGTTAATATCATTAGAAATGAATTCTTCTCATTCAAGCTTTAGATCAGCGATACTGGTGGCTCGCAAAGAGAATTTTTAGGGTGACAACGTATTTTTAATTTTAAACGTTTGTTTGTAATATGTGTGATGAACACAGTGTATTAGTGATTGAAGTTAGTTCATTATTGGCGTACATAGCTTACTACTAGGTAAGCTTGTCGTTTGTTTCAAAATTAACAAAGCAACTCGCCATACTGAAGAGGTTTGTGACCATAACTATAGAAAAGTATGGCTGATTTGTGTTTTAAATGTCATGAGTTACTTTCAGAAAGCGATTATCTAAATGAGAGGTAATAAGATATACTTGTCCAAAAATCACCTGATGAATAATTCTTTATTCGACTAGTTTCGCCTTTTACGGCATTATCAAGAATCATTATATATTACAACGACATCCTTTGAATATTTACAGATCACTACGGTCCACAGAATATACCATGAATTCGGTATGTTCTGTGGTTCGGTACCTGGAGGTGGTAAAATATAGAACATCTAAATCACCTCCGTTCTATGTTCTGTATCCATAGAACATAGAATGAAGATTGTAGAGGTGGAGATTTCCAAACTATCAGAGATTTAACAGTAGGGAGTGGTTTAGGTCTAACTGGTCATTGAAAAGATTGTAATTATCAGATTTTTGGAGTTTATTTATTTCAATGGCTTCCAGGTAGTTCATTTTCATAACTAGATGTTCCCGAAGAGCTGATTCGATGTTTTTTAAATGCTCTTTTAGCCTAGTTTCAAAACATCTTCCGGTCTGGCCTATCTTCTGCTTCCTTCGGGAACGTCTAGAGTCGATAGGACATAACATCTCATCCGGTTTTAAACCAAATATTCTCCATTACTGTGAAAAAGGTATGAAAATGAACTACTTGAAAGCCATGGAAATGAATAAACTCCAAAAATCTGATAATTACAATCTTCTCAATGACCAGTTAAACTTAAATCACTCTTCACTGTTAAATCTCTGATAAAATTGGAAAATCCGCACCTCTACTACCTCCTTTCCCTGTTCTATGGATACAGAACATACAACGGAGTTGATTTAGATGTTCTATATTCTTCCACCTATTGTGACCGAACCACAAAACATACCAAATTTAGGGTATATTCTGTGAACCGAGCAGATCTGCAAATATATAATGTGATAATGCCGTAAAAGGCGAAACTAGTTGATTGAAGAATTGCTCAGTTAATAATTTTTAGACGAGTATATCTTATTACCTCTCATTTAAATATGAACTATCACAGAGTTGATATTTAACATTGAACTATCAGAGTTCAATGGACATCGTCCATTGAATTTATTGATTATCTTAATGAAGTACGCAGTTTGAAAACAGTCAGTATCCAAAGAAATGACAGTCATATCCTGGTTCTATCTCGAAAAAGTTTCGTGAAAGAAAAAATATTTGAAATAAAATTTGTAGAGAATTGTACTCTTCCTAATGCCCATAATAGATGAAAACTATTTCAGAAACTCTTCGTTCACCTTCGACTTTCGATATCTTAGGACGCAGACACGCGGTTGTATAACGAGAATTTATAACAGTGGACCTACAGTTTAACGCCGGTTCCGAACGGCCATTGGGCTTGTAATCGATGTACATTACCCAACATATTTCATTATTTGAACAACTTAAATCATGGACACACACAAACACCCATGCCTTCAGCGGGGCTCGAACCCGAGTTCTACCGCACCGTAGTCGGGTGCGTAGTTCTACCGACTAAGCTACGGAGACCGGCATTTATAGGTAACACCTAAATACTCGTAACGGTTTATTGAAATATTTCCCCTTTTTTTGGCTAGAACATTGTTCGGTCGCATTTGTATAACACAGATTTAGCATGTCTCTGCGATATTCTAGCCGTCCATCCGGATTATTTTGGCACTATCTCGCGTCTCCCTCAAAATAATCATACTCATCGATGCTGAATACTGCCGAATAGTTCTCGAGGGAAAACGGTATCTGCGAATAACAGTCAGTGCAACAATAACCTCTAAAGCATACAGAACTAACGTTGTTCATGCATAGTTTAACCGTACTTTTTTTCGTGACAAGTACGCTTTAATCGCTTGAGCACGTTCAGCGAACCGATACAGAGGGCGTAGCTGTCATAAACAGTGCTTCAAATCGAGCGATACAACCAGCGACAGCTTTAATTTGTTTGTGGGTCCCCATTAATTTGGTCATCGTGTCGCTACCAAGTTCGGCTATTTATTGCCGCAGTTAGCGAAGTTATACGGTTCCCGGCTCTAGGAAAGATCAAGGAAGTCGGCAAAATGAGAACAGTTTATAGTTTACCCTCAGCTCTTTATTTCTTGGTGTCGGTCAGGGTCGGACTCCCTTCTACCAGGTTATAACTTCGCATGCAATAAAGTTTTCAACTACAATTTTAAATACGACCACTCTACATAGATCTCTTCGGTTTTCGAATAATGTCAATTTTCCCTGCATTAATGACTACTAGAAATTGATATCTAGGGTTACTGAACATTTTTTAATTATCTTGAATTATCTTGAAAGTTCATTACAATATATCAATCGGTTTTTTATGTACATTCATACCTAATATATGACTATCTCTCGAAATAGTCAATTATTTTGTCTATATGCATTTTGAACACAGTTCTTCCTTCTTTAGCAATTATTTATGCTTGTTAGTTGTTTAGATCTTATATTTTCTATGAATTTACTATAATCATGAACAAAAGCAACGGCTCAAGAATGGGAAAATACCCATCCATCCTACAACAAAATCATTTTCTCAATATTTCAATTCTCAATATTGAGAATATAATCCTCAACGTCTGTATAAAATTGAAAACTTCTGGTATTTGGACGAGAATAAACCGAAAGTATTTGTTAGAGAAAATAACGAAATTTGGTTCTAATGGAAGCTACTGAAATGTTGTCGGCAGTAAAGGAAAGTTTTAATTCAATTCAAATTACCATATAATTGATTGATAGTTGACATTTATTCGTCAATTGACAGATCATTTTTTATTGAAAGTCTCTCATAGTTCTCAAGTAATATAACCGTCGTTAAATATGAAACCGCGAAACAGCTGATTTTATCATAGTGAATATATTGTTATTCATTTTTTGAACCAATGGAAATATGAATTTATTTCTTCTAGAATTATGTGGAATCAAGGAGGTGCCACATTGATAGAACATATATACGACGAAGATAAAATATTTGACATTGTTTCAAAATGAAAATGAGTCTTTTTCAGTGACACCTTTCAATAAAAATTCAATTTGTTGATTAGAAAACCTTTAGCTCAAATTCATAAAGTTATTTTGTTCAATAAAATGAACTGCAAAACAAATGTTAATGAACAATATTTTGATGTGAAAAGAAGCCGAGTGTTTTTTATTCAATCCATTAAACGATTTTTTGCAGAGAAATCAGGGAATATTCAATCATTTTTAGAAGTGTGATTGTTTAGATTGATAATTATCGTGTTAAATTATGTGATCGTTTTTCGGTCATACTGAAAAGTTCTTTCAACATTAGGATATTTTTATAGTATTTGCTGTAAATAGGATTTCGATTGCTCGACTAGTATGAGTTATATCCTCCATAAACTGTTGAAACTCTATCACTTCATTGTAAATTATTCTAACAGTGTGATTCGTGAGGTTATATATTCTCAATTAAAAAACAATAATGAACATAACTCTCTAATATGGCATTTTCATCGTCATCAAAATGCAATATTCTATACGTTGAAGCCTTCATTGTTTTCATAGGCCAAGAACTAAAATGTTCAGCAGTAGATCCCACTAGAGAAATTGAATTTTCTCAATTTTTCTTGAGTAAGTAGATAATAGTGCAAATTCTCTAAGATCTTCTTGTATCATAGAGTTATTAGAGCGAAAGTATAACCAGTTAAGAATGAAAATTATCTGTCACAAGCTAATTTATCTTCATTCTTACTTGATATGTGATATGAATTGTTATTTGTTATTTTTGTTTCCTTCATTTTTGATTTGTAGGGGCGCAACAGAGGTTCCATGGAACCTAACTGAGTACCAATTTAAGTTTAATGTACATAAGTTATTGGCCTAGAATATCATAATATCATACATTGTTCAAGAATATCGTAATTTGACTGAAAAAATCTACCTTTAACGGATGATCATTTCTGTTTATCTAGTGAATTTTTTATGTGGACATCTATTTCAAGCAACTAACTCACAGATGGCCTCCTTGGCTTAGTCCGGAGAACAGCCGAATATGGTGCGGTAGAAGTCAGGTTCAAACCCCAGTGAATGCATGGGTTTGTGTGATTGTCAATGATTTGAGTAATTAAATGATGATGGCTGGGTAATGTACTTCGATTACAAGCCTATTGGCTGTGAAAGAAACTCATAGTCGATAATCGATTGACAACCCGAAATATGATGAATAAATGAAACAATTCTTGTGGAAATGACTCTTTCCTAATAAATTTGAATAATTCGCAGAATTTTTATCTGGCATTTGCAAAAAATTTCAAAAATCTCATTGAAACGAAGTATCCATCTTTTTTCAGTTTGACGTAATATTGAAATCAAGCGTTTAATATTCAACAGAAATATATTGAAAAATTACGGAACAATTCTCTCCCAACTTAGAAATCGAGTTCTTGCAGCTATTCCGGAGTAGAATCGATATCCAATAAGTCGAGAAATACATTCCAGATTGTGATTTACAGGATCGCGAATGGAGTTTCTATAGAAAAGTCTCTTCGCCTCACTCCGCCCTGCAGCTGACTCTCTTTGGAATTGCGAGATGCGACACAGACCATTTTAACTGCTATAAAATAGATTGGAAAAGTATGTACCCATTTAGTTGGTCCCTCAACTGCTAGAAACATTACCACACATCCATATATTTTGTACTTTGATTTAAGTTATAGCTTCCAGAGAAATAAATCGTTTTTGTTCTTGAAATTGGAACGATGTTTACTTTCTTGTCGCCTTGAACTGAACTGTCTCTGACTATGTCTGAGACTGCAATTGAAATTAATACAATGGATTAACTTATCACAATCGGGCTATTGAGCTTGAAGTTTTTGAAGAGATAGTTTTGGTATTATGCTGAGTACAAACATTCGAAGAAATAGAAAACTGAATATGCCATTATAATAAGATAATAACCATGAAAAATTTGAATAAAACTAAGTAGTTTGCTGATTTTCAATAAAATTAATTTCAAACGTGACAATATGTTTCGCCAACACATTGGCTTCATCAGATATTGATGATAAACTGGGATATAAAAATCAGAAAACTACATATTTTTATTTGAATTATGTATTCAAATTTTCATCAGATATTGGCCCAATCGATTAATGAATAAAAAATTTATTAGAATGAGATGTACCACACATAAGTATGGATAACACCTTTTCTCATCAATAACATATAAGTAAAGAGCTAGCTTATAATCGGATTTATTAACCTGTGGAACCTATATATGAAAATTATGAATGAAAAATGAAGAAAAATGTTGCCGTTTTTCGAGTTAACATTAAAACAACGAAAGTGTTGAAACCTTGTCTCATTTAGGCAATCCATCATTCAAAATTTTATTGTTCTATCAAACCGGAATCCAATGATATCATTCAAAGCACACAACACTGTTTATGAATATCTTTGATCTTTCAGAAGATTTTGCAAGCATACATCATTTATATGTTGTTTAACATGTACAAAGGGACACGTGGAACAAACTTTGGACTGAGTAGAAAAATGAGAACAAAGAATGGAACATATTTCATATAAGACACACATCTTTTGGAAGAAAATCAGAGTTTCAAGATCGATTCAGAATGTTGCGTACAGAAGACTGCACATCAGTAGCGCTCAGAATACCGATAAGATCAGCTCTACTCTACGACTGGGAGATGAGGCCGACATCTAAAAGCCAAAAGTGAAAACTACATACAACGAAGATGCGCATGTAACACTCAGCGCAAGGATTCAGCTTCAAAGGAAAGGTGAGAAATAAACATATAATGGAAAGTATCGATGTGATCCGAATTTCTCATAGAATTTCTGAGATAAACTGCGTTGCTCTCTGATGAGAAGATCAGATGATCGTCATGTGGATGTCGAGTCTTCAAAACAACAGGGAAACGTTGGAACTACATGGAAAACATTGTCAACATAAAAATGAATGTCTTTACATGAATGGGAAACCGCCTCCTAGTAACATCATAAGATGAAGTGAAAAAAACGCATAAAGAAGAAAGAGTACAAACTCAGTTTATGAGCAGGCGTGGAAGTTACTGACAGAAAAAGTCCTGTGATTTATCAAATGATTAGATGGACATAAATAGTTCTTCACTGTAAGATTCATTCTTGTGGTTGAGTTGAATTTCATTGAGAATCTCATTTTGAACACTCAAAAAATAACTTCTTAGTATGTTTAATATTCTCATATTGCTATTCCCATTTCTGAATAAGACTAAAGTGCTTTTATCTGCATAAACTGTTTTTTTCTCTCCGTTGTTATTAATCTAAACTGATCAAATTCGTTAGATTCACTTCGATATATGTGATATCATGTAGTATATCTGCCAATGTGTTGGTGAAAGGTGAAATGTTTGTGTTCGAACAATATTCACTGAAAATCAGGAAACTGAATAAGTTCTTTCCACAGCATATAAAATTTCACAATGACGGAGTTCTTCTCACAACATATAGAATTGCAAACTATTGAAAATTTGTTCATCATTATGTTG